AAAATATTAAAAATGGCGTCAAAAGGCCAATCATAAGTTTGATTTATTCGGCAGCCATTTATAATAGCGATAAATCAATCTTATGATTGGCCATTTGCGTGTCCAATCAGGACTCGTAATACCGGTTGCGCTTCTCTGATAATCTAGGACTCTAAGATCACATAGAATATTTACATCACATAATTACATAAGGAGTTAGCGGTCTAGGTAATATATAGAAGTCTGTGGGTATAAGGTTTGAAAGTTACAGTATCACTGGCATTAGCATTATTTAAGGTGTTCGAATAATGGAACTAAAACTTTTTTTTATAGGCTTTTATCCTAGTTCTAACAATTTAGTGTTGTTCTTTTTTGTTGTCCGCAAGGTGGCATACCTTCAATTTGCATGTATAAACTGTAGAATTTTCATATTAATTAAATATTGTCATGAATTGAGCAAACTGCTTTGTTGATCTCATACAAATTTGGTCGACCTTTCAGCATCCTCTTAAACTTCACGACTTTTGTCTTAAGGTGGTTTTATCATGCAAGTCCCAGTCAAAAGTTAGTCCCTCTATATCACTAATAATTCAATAAAAACAAGCGTAATTCAATAAAAACATTTCGCATAGGCTGTACGCCCCACATAGACATATCGTATACATATACGTGCACACAACGATACACGGGACATGCACGATGATGTGTGAAAGTATGACGTCGCATTTTTTAATTAAAATTAACCTTGACCATTGACAGATTGTCAATGTATTAATTTAGAAATTTTTCGAAAAATTAAAAAAGATTCACTTATTTTTCATATTTGAATGCATGCGATTAATGTTATGCAAATATATAAATATATTAGATGCATGTAACATATAAGTAAATTTCTTTGTAGCTTGTATAAGTTCTTTTATGTTAAATATAAAATAATTTTTTTAAATAGTACATTTTTTGTGATAATTATTTATATAATTATTATTATATAAAATTATTATTTATATAAAATAATATCAGTCTTGTGTATTTATTGAATATTTCGTTAAAATAAAAAACAACAGCATCTAAAATTTTCTTACTTTTAGTGACTCGTGGTTTTTTTTGTATTATTTCATTTTACAATAGTTGCATGATTCCCATAGGTCCAGACTGTATTTGTGCTTCTTTCAATATATTCATAATTAATTCCTGCAGTTGCAATTTTTTTCATTATTTCACGTGATACGATATTTTTAAGGAGTGATAATGATGGCAGTAAAACAGCAATTGATATAGATTCTTTATAAGATTTTGCATTTATACATAAATCTTTTTTTGAAATAAAAGATAAAATAAGTTTTTCTAAGATCTCTACATCATACAGTGCCTCATGAAAATTTTCAGTTAATAAGCTCATTTCAGCTAATTTTTCAAATTTAAACATATTTATTCTTTCTTATTTTCTCTTGGGAAAATTTTAAATAAAGATAAAGAATCACTAATTCCAGCAATGTTTTTAAAACTTTCAATCATATTGTTATTAATAATAGCACGAAGTAGATGACCAGAATCAAATCGTGCATTATGAGCAACAAGAATGCATGGTTTCTGTGACAAATTTAAAAATTTTTGAAATGCTTGTAAAGCTTCTTTTGGAAGAATTGAAGAAACTTGCTTGTCATTTAAATATATCTTTCCAAATATATTTTTTAATCCTATGACTTTGGATGCTTCATCATCCATAGTGAAGGATTGTGAAGGATTTAGATACACATTAAATGTATATTCTTCAAATTTTGCAGCGATTTGTAGAATATCTGCAGTTTTTTGGAATCCCGAAGTTTCTAAATCAAAGTACACAATGTTACAATTTTTAAATGATATAGAAATATTTGGTAACTTATCAATAGAAAGTTGTAAATCAATGACATTGCCAATTTCTTATATAGTATTTATCCATACCACAATTTGATTTATACTGAATTCCTTCTGATCTCTCTTTTGCTCTTCTCTCGGCTTCTCTCTTTTTAGCTAAAAAGATTCGACGTAATTTCGAACTAATTAAGTTTGCTTTTTCTGTTCTTTTTTCTCTAAATTTATCATTCTTTTTTATAAAATATTTCGTATGTTTACCAGGTGATAAAGATAATAACTTATTCACAGTGATTAAATAACTGTCTCCATCATTTTTTGTACAGACTGTACTAACAGTACGATAATCTGCTGCTTTACTAGTACTATAACACGTCATTTTCGGTGCTTTGTATGCCATTATTCTATTAAAACTTTCATTAGTCTGGCTTGAAGCCGCAACCGAAAATTTCCTTGAGTTATTAGCATATATTTTTTAAATAATGCATGCAATTCGTTAAAGATCGCTGGATCTTGAAGTTTTATCTTATGTGATTTCGATGGATCATCTTCAAATTGGCGATACCAACTTCAACAATTTTCATGGCAATCATACAGATGTGGAATACTATTAAGAGTATTTGCTAATGCTTCACTTTCTCTTCTGTTTTGTGCAATAGAGTACGTGAAACATTTTACAATATGAGGAATAGTGTCTTTTTGTTTCATTTCTTTATATTTCTTTTGAAGTTCATACAGTTCTTTTTTAAAATTCTTTTTAAGATGATTAGAATCAGCTAATTTAACAATCGTGTGAGTATTTCCAAGACAGATAACAGCAATAGTCGAGCTGTCCACGTCACCTACAATGACTCGAACAGTCTTTAGTCCTGCATTCTTAAAAATTGAGCTATTATTTATTAAAACAGCGCCTACATCAGCTTTCATTGCCTTTGCGCTTTCCTGGAAATTTTTCCGACAATCGTGATCGTTTGTTGCGTGACCCTTGTCACAACGACGACATTTACGATTGCGCGTTGCATAATCAATTATTTTGCCGCTAAGGAATCCAATTGCTGCTCCATAATCATTAAGGGCCCTTCCTAGTCACCGCGGCCATATCGAACTC